ATCTTCTGGAACCAATTACACCATGAGCTGAGGCTGTCTTGAGAGTAAAAAGAAATGTTATGTGGCATTAATGTGTTGTTCAGTGAGTGTATGTACATAGATACATGTATGCTACCATGTGATACAGATGCCTTCTGCATCCAGAACATATGGATCCATCACTATGAGCAACATCTTTGACATAGACGTGGCGAGGAGGTCTATTATTCATACAACAATATTGATTATAGATGGTTTAAAGAATCTCTGAGTGAATAGACAAGTAGAGGTTTCTTAATATACTCGCTAGGGGACAAAATGTATCAAACATTGTTGTGCTTTTATTACAACTATAAATTATTTAATTACATAAAGTGTAAATGATGTAAATAGATCATTTAAATTTACATGATTTTCAGTCAGTAAGCAATCAGATTTGGAATTTAAAGAAATTAAAAGACATTGCACCATGAAGTCCTGGAGGCCTCAACAGTCATATGGGGTCACAAAAAGTTGACACACATGCTGACTTTTAATCACATTAATATTCTTATTCACAAAAGTATCATTCATTGTTGCAAACAGCCTCTAGTGCTTCCTCCCCCTCGCCTGCAAAACCCCTCTTCACCTCTACTTTCATGTGCAGATTTAGACCAGAGATGGAGTGAGGCCTGCCACATGGCGCCCTCTATGTCCTCCCTCCCTCCTCTCCCCTCCTCACCCCAGCATCTCACCACATCAGGATACACTTGGTCTGGTGAATTCCGGTTTCAAACGGAACGCTGCCTTGCTCTGGTTTTCTGCAGGACCAGTATTAAAAGCAGGCACATGCTGTCTCTCAGTGGTCCTGTGGTCAGGGAAGGGGAGCCTCTAACGGCCTGTTACGCTCACACACCTTTCAAACCTCACCCGCTCCTGCTTCCTCCCCACCCCTGAGCATTGCTCCCCCCTTCTTTACCCTTGACAGCCACCATGCACACCCTTATCACAACGAGAGCAGATTAAAGAATGAAGAGTTCCTTCCACTGCAGGCCAATAAGTTCATCACCTCCATCCAAGTCTTTCATGCAGCCTCCTTGCCGAATTGTTTTCCACTGCTGACACAGTGCCGCTGAGCGGAAAGTTTATTTTCTCACTATTCCACATTAAAACGTATTGTAATGTTACAAACACAGTATGAAAAGTGTTTTCTTTGGGGACAGTTCTTGTCCGTTGACCTTCAGCCTCAATTATGATGCCCCTGGTGCTGAAAAGAGGCACTGCAGCCTGAATTGTTTCTGTTTTTTAAGTTCAACTGATTCTCAGTCAGAACTCTCTTGTGTTAACACTGGTTGTCTGATGTGGATTAAAGGTAGGTGCACTTATATTTCTGAAACATCAAAAGCATGCAGCAGAACTTAAAACATATAGCTTTAAAACATATGACATCAGTTGCCTTCTTAATTACCAGCTTTCACATAAACAGTTATTGTCTTTAGCTGTTTGTTTTCTTATATAATATAATATATATATATAATACAATATGTCCATTGTTCTTTAAATTTCATTTTGTTTGGGACTGTTCTCATGTGAAAGTCTTACAGAGTTATTTTCTAGACTTCCTCTAGCCAACATTGCCACCTGCTGTTAACTGGATAAACCAGCATATGTCTACATCTTCACTTAATATTAAATAGTCAAACAGGAGCTGCTGATGTCTGGACAGCAGACAACAGAAGCTGGACAAGATCTTTAGTTGTATGAACTGCCTGCCTAAATATTTGTTGTTGATTTTTTTCCTGCTGTTGTTTTTGCTTACACAGACCCTGATTATAGTTAAACAAATTCTTTGGAAAAATATAATTTTTACTTGAGAGAAATAATCAAGTTTATAATAAAGATTCATTGACTCTGTCTTCACACATATTATTGTCCCTGTTTACCCACAGTAAGACTGATTACTGTAGGACCACTGATGCTGAATAGTAATAAAACTGGGTGGATTGGTGAAAAATATATAGAAGACATGACCAAGAAGCTAATTTTCTTCCAATGGTCATTTTGGGGGTTGATTTGTGTTCATATTAAGTGTAAGATTGTGTGACTAACATGTTTTAAATGCTACTGCATCAAGTGAAACTCTGAGGTGAAATATCTTGTTTTATATATCTTGTGTCAGAATAGATGTCTGAATGCTACATAAAGGTCAACACATCAGCATCAAGATAAGTTTTCAACCTGATGTGTTCTTGTGGCACTTCAGAAATGACACAGATCACAGGGGAACTTCCTTCAGAGGAGCTCTGTGTTTCTCAAAGGGATGTGCTGGCTAACCGCTGCCCAGTCTGGGCTTCCGGCCCTGGGGCAGCAGCGCCTGCCGGTACCCCTCACACCCTGCAGCAGCGCCACTATCACCCCACTCCAGACGCGGTGCCAGGATACTGTGGTGACACAACCCTGGGCCTCTGTTCCTCCCTTGTCAACAAGACTGATGGATGCAGAGAGGAGGAGAGGAGCGAAGAAGAGGACAAGGAGGACTGATTGATGTTGGAATTGATTGCAGTTCAGAGTTTGCACAATCAAAATGAAGGAGAGGATTTACAAATTTGGGATGCGTTTGTATGAAGAAGTGATGCAAAAAAGAGGACAGCAAAGATGAATAAAAAATGGCAGGATGGAGTGAATCCTGATTTTTTTTTTGGTAATGATATGGAGTGAAAGTGAGGTATTGGGCCGCGATTTAGAGTTTGGTCATTAACCAGCATATTTCAGGAGCATCTCTCAAAGACAAAAACCTGATTTAGATCAACTGAAGATTTGCTTACGGGTCCTAATTGCTACAATGCAGATTTTAGCAGTTATCCTCAGCTGCAGGAAAACTTTTTTTAGTTTCTCTAGTATGATCAACAGCCACCAGGGGGCAGAACATGGAGACATTCAACCCTGCAATGTTTTCTCCTGTGATACAAATCCTCTCTCTCTCACACACACACACACACAAAGACACGCATATGAAATCAAATGAGAAAGCTGATATGTATAATGGGTTTCACGGGTGATTGGTCTTGATTGCTTACGGTTAAGTGTCTGATGTGTGTGTGTTGGTGTGTGTATGCAAGCACGTGTAAAACAGAGAAAAGGGGAAAAGGAGCTTTTGGTTGCATAACAATAATTAAGGCGCCAGGATGTGAACAATGGGAGCCATTTGTTTTTAAGAAGCCAAGCACATCATGCAGCCCCTGATCTGCTGAGAGAACCAACCCTGCATAGTGTGTGTGTGCATGTGCATGCGTGTATAATGCCATATCCTAGTGTGTGCATAAGTACTGTATGTTAATGACAAGTCAGGAGTCTGCCTGCAGTGTGTCTGTGTGTTCAGATCAGAGACTGCTGAGTGCCCTCAGTTCCTCGGCCTCTTCGCTGGTTAATATTAGACACCCTTCTTGTTGGAGAGACTGGCAGCTCATCGCGAACACTGCTAAAATAGGTGTAGCATTTTACAAACACGGTGAGACACACACTCGCTGCTCACACACAAACTCTAAACTCCCAGAAAGGCCTTTGTGAAACACAGCCAGGGAGGGAGCCGCCCGCCTGACGCCAACTCTCGAGAGCAGGTGAGGCTGAGTGTGGGTTTGTGTGTGTGTGTATGTGTGCTGATAGTTGCGGGTGGAGGATGGTTTTGGAGTATGACGACAGAATAAAACTCCTAATAGTCAGCATCAGTGTGTCAGGCCTGGAGCTGGGAAAGTATTAGTAAGGTGAGGTGAGAAAAATGGCTCCTGCAAAACTGGGTTACTCTCTGTTTGGTGTTAAACTGTGAGCTTTGAGTTGGAGGCAGAAGATAGAAGGCTGTGGTTGGACAGAAATGGAGTTTTAAATCCCTATCAGCTCTCTGTCACATGAATGGCAGTGTAATGGAGTTTGAATTTTAGGAGGTGTCTATCTAGCAACTGTTTGAGTCCTCTGCAAGGACATGATGACCTCTCGACTCTCATGACATCATCTGAACCAAAATTCATGTGAGCTGTTGCAGACAGATTCAAATTTTTTAGGTCACGAAGGTCAGGCAGGTAGGGACACACTACCAACATTAATACATTCATGCTCATCAGATTACTTTTATGTGTAGTTTGGGTTAAGGTTCCTCTTCATTATGTTGTATGTACATGACTGCAATACAGTAAAACCATCCTTCATGTGTCGACAGCGAGTGCAGACACATTTGAAATTTTGTAAACCAAGTTCATGGTTTTTGGAAATTTTAAAATAACTGATGGGAATGTAAAAAAAATCTGTGATGTTAAAATTGAATGAGTTTTTCTGACAAAATTCTTACTGGTTTTGATTGATCATAAACTACCATGGAAACAGCATTTCAGCCATATTATAAGGAAACATTATAAAGTCTATAGCAATTTTGCACTTCCAGACATTTTTAGTGTGTGAAATTCTGGGAGTCGACCTTTAAAACAACCATAGATTTAATAATCTTACTATAAAAACAAGGTATGTGTACTATTATTAAGGTTGGTTCCTTTAATTGCACTAATTTATTGTCTAAAGTCCCGTATTCTAAAATGAAAAAGTTTATTTTTTCCATATGAAAGAGTAACTGTGATCTGAGAGATATTTGCTAGTCCAATAAAGAAAAATTTAAACCAGGATTTAAAAAATGTTGTGTATTTGTTGAAGTTAAGTTACAGAATAATTTTAATATAATTTTTTTTAGGGCTACAACTGTGAATGATCATTTATTTCTGGTGTGTGGCTTAAATGGATAAATGGATAAATCCTGTCTCAGTCACTACTAAAACAGATAGTTCATTTTGCTCGTGCTATATTTATATATATATATTTGATGACTGAATTAAAATATACTAATACAAAAAAGCCTCACCAGGAAAGTAAATTATGTGCGCAATTTTGAATGTACAATATAGATTCTGTAATTTCATTACAACATCAACTTCCACAAGCAGTCTTTTTAATATATATTTCTTCATTTCACTTTTATGAAGCATTGTGATGAGAAGCCCCATTATGAACAAAGGTGTAGCTTCAAACAGTCTTCAAACAGTATTAGCTGCCATCGGCATGTAAGTGATAAGTGGCACAAAAGCTGCTCTAAAAACAGTGATGTACAGACAGTGACTAAGACATCTATCAAATCAAAACTATGCAAAACAGTTCTTTTTTTTTTTTTATCAGTGTCAGGTGTGATTATTAATGAAGTCTACTGTGCAGAAAATCTTCCACTCTGAACTGTCGTCATTAGTGTGCTCCCACAAAGTTCTTGGGCCTTGTCTTCACCTCCACCCTCTTGAAGGAGTAGCGCTCTCCAGTTCGCCCGTCTGTCAGGATGTACCACGTCCCCCAATAGATACCATTGGTCACCCCACTGTAGCGCCCTCGGTAATACCGTCCATTCAGGTTAGCTGCCAGGCAGGCATCAAACCACCAGCCTGCTCCATAGTACTGACCACAGTTTCCAGATGTGTAACGGTCGTGGTCCCTGTCAGCAGTGCTAAAAGCTCTGCCATCATGGTTGTAACGCTTACTGTAGCTCAGAGCGTTGCCTGCATCACCAGAATATTCCCTGGCTGTCAGACGATACCTGAAAGTCAGAGAGACAACATGGTTCATCCCAAAGTGCAAGGCTACATATAATACTATAATGTTATGCCAAAGCACCTACGAGACAAGGCACATTAAATCCTTATGTGTGAACCATGTGAGTAAATAGTCTCTGCATACTCATTTTTTAATCAACCTATCACATGGTAGTTGGTATTTCTATTACAAGAGGAGGCCATGGAGGAGCATAAATAAAGAGTAAAGTGGTAAGTCACCACCGGCTACCAAAACAGTTGGAATGCTTCTTGCCATAGATCATCCAAGTCTCTGAATTCTGCTGGAAGGACTGAAATTATTCTTTCAAACTAGACAGTGTTCTTTCATTTAAAATGTTTGATGATGACAATGGTGCAGAAGACATTTGAGTTGTTTTGAATGAAATCCCTTGCATTTCTTCTGTTTCTCTGCGGATTTATTTAAGTTTATCTTTTAATTTATCATCCATCTGTTGTAAACGGAGTAAATGTGTGTCAGACACCAACACACATTTGCCCAGTTCGTCCAACCAGAGGAGTGAAAAATTAAACACCACAGAGCCTAAGATATAGATTATCCACATAACGCCATTCTGAAGTCGCATTGTCAGATCTGCAGGCTCATTTACTTCTGAAATAAAGATTTTTGATTGTGGTGATTCTAAAACAAAAGGCCAAACTTTTATATCAAGGATGATGAAGGATTCAGAGCCCCAGAATGTTGGAGAAAAAAAAAACTACTCTGCTTCTTCATCAGGTCTGTGTGGGTGGATTTGATCAAATCTGAGTAACAGTGACTCACAAACCTGAGAAACAACTTAGTTTGAACTAAATGCTGCTAAATTCTGACTGATGCATGGGACTATATGACACCAACCTTTAGTAGCAGAGTCCCCTTCACTTGAACCCAGTAAGAACATAACAATAAAGAAATTCCCCAGGTGAAATATTTAAAATTCTTTCAAAGTTGGCAGAACTGTTGTGTGCACATCTAAGACCATGGAGTCAATCGTAAAAACTGATTGGGAAAACAGGTTTTCAGGGAATGTTCATGTTTATTATTTCACTCTGAAAGCGGATAATGTTGTGACTGAAGAGAGGGAAGTTTCACTATCGTGGACTTGCTGACACAAGCCTTTTTCTTCAACTTTCTGCCTAATCCAGGTAACTTTCACCATCTAGTGCAGTTAATTATGTGTTTGCAGTGCACTTCACCTCTGCGCCTCTGAGGCCACTTTAAAGTTGCTATAGGTGGCCTGGCGCTTCTGTTGGTGCCAGTCTTCCAGCTCGATGCGGAGCTGGTGTTGTCCAGTGGAGGTGAGGGCATGCAGCGCTGCATTGCCCAGCCAGTGTTCACCCTGCAGACTGCCAAAGCCCTCCCGGTACTCCTGCCATGTTCTGTTGAAGTCCACTGAGCCGTCCTGCCGATTCTGGATCACTGTCCACCCACCACCCGCCGACTCCATGTCACATTTAGCCTGAGTCAAAACAAAGACTCTGATATTATAAAGCCCAGATTTTACTGATCCACAGATAGCAGACGGGTCTCTAAAAATAAGAGTAGTAGGGTGTGAGTCTGTCTGTGTGTGTGTGTGTTTTATGAGTGTGGTGAATCTGAAATACCTCCAGTGCCGGCCCGTGCAGGTCAGGCTGGATGGTGTAGATTCCGTTCTCTTTGATCCCGAGCCTGTAAATCTCTGCACAGTCCTGAGGATGTAACCTCTCCAAGGGGGCAACTGAGTGTCAAACACAGTTTAATTCAGCTTATTAATCAACTACCAGTCACATGACTACCTCCCATGCCCTCACCTGTGGGTGGATATTGCGTGATGCTCTTCAGGAATAGCAGCAGGTCTTTCTCCCCCTCTCTTCCCACTGCTGCACTCTCTGTCAACCCAGAGCAGGATTAGGTTATCAGTGAGACACATCACGCTGTTGTCAGGTGCTGAAAATAGAAGCTTTGTCTTTATGTACTTCACAGAGGGATTGTATGATAGCTCTTTAAAGCTTCTTCACATTGCGAGCTCTACAGTATGCATCCGTGTGTGCACGTACACAGGGTTTTCGCCGTGCTTCTCAGTGCAGTTAAATTCCTATGCACTCACCTATGACCGACACTTAGCAGGCCTCATTGAGGTTCTGTTTACTATGTGCGGGGGAGTGATGGCGCTGGCATTTGCGTCTGTGTGTGTATGTGTCTACATGTTTGTCCGAGTGTTGCAGAGGTGGGGGGATATAAATGTGCACGGCTCACCCAGTCGTTTGGCCATCGCCCCAAGGGCCTGGCTGTGACAGTGGAGGTCACACTCTGTCAGCACAGCTGCCATTAAAGCCAAGATGGCCCCGAGAGAGTTGCTCTCCTGGCCCCCGTGACTCCAGGGCCCCCCTGTTTCCTGGAGAGAGCGCATGCAACGCTGCAGCTGAACCAGGCGCTCTTTGACACCTCCAGCCTGCAACACAAGTGCCCACAAATACAGATACTATTCACAAGACATTGTTCATAGCCAAAAGTTTGGTTAAATGTGTGTGCATCCTCTTGTTTGGAAGATGACATCTCAAAGGTTAACTCATTCATGAAACTGTCAGCTCAGTTTCGTGTCACACTCAGTCTGTCTCTTACACTTACATCAGCCATTGTGGTCATGTCCCTCACACACCTGTCGCTGCATGAGCTCAGCACAACCATATGATGAGGACATTTTTAAAACAGACCTAATTTTATCCCTTCTTTGATTGCTGACGGTTAATGCTTCATGGCTGTCAGGTGGTGCCAAGTTTATTGTCCCATGAGAAAGGACCTGCTGGCATGTGCTTGATAGTGCGCTCACTCTCACTGGCACACGTGAATGAACAGAGGTTCAGATCTGCTTCAGCTTGTCACTCACAGTTATGTACATGGCTGGTTCAAAGTTGCATCATCTGGCCTCTCTTAGGATGACATTTTAAGATTATTAAGTTGGAAACAATAAACCCTATTCTGAGCTCACTTACCTTATAATGAACCTGTGGAAAATCGTGCCTGTGCTCTACCCTCCGAGGTACATCTGAGATGGCTGGCAGTGAAACACCCATCCTGCAGACACTTGTCCCAGTTTGACCCTCACAGGCCCCGCTACCCACTCCTGCTCCCGTCCCTGGTGGGATGGGTGCAGCCACCAGACTGTCCCTGCAGGGAGGATGGACGCAGGCTGGAGATGCATCTGAAGACAGCAGTGCTCCCACATACAGTGACAGCAGAAGAAGCATGCTCAGAGAACTGAAAGGAATCATGGGAAAATGCAGAGATGCAGGCTTTTTCTAAACTTCCTTTTAAACTCTTCAGAGCCGTGGTCCTGATTATTCCTTGCAAACTTTCAAGTCAACTTCCTATATATCCTAAGAAGTGCCTCTTCAGGTGGAAAAATCTTTGCTGGCTTGTCCTTTTTGTTTAGATCTTTGTGTTGCTGTCCTTGTCCATGTTGTTTTCTACTCTCTGTTTTTCTTTCATCTCCCTCTTCTTGCTTTTTTTTCCTCAGTTCATCTCCCTCGTCGTCCTCCTCCTCTGTCTCCCGCTCGCTCCCTGTTAGTGAGGTTGCTTTGACTCAGATTCCTAGATAAATGCGGCACTCTTTGCTGTCTGACACGGACTAATGCACCCACCCCCTAATAGACACACACACACACACACACACACACAATCTGTCCATCTCCTTAACTCATCTCATTCTCTCTGCTACACTCCCACGCAGCCACACACAGATGCATGTTTACACACACACATCCACCAAGAACGTGAATACAAATCCCACAATGTCTTGGGCACATGTGCAGTGTTACATTATACACAGTGTAAAGGACATCGTTCACAAATAAACTGACTTTTCTTTACTGTTGTGGAGATCTTTGCCTGCCTCAGTGAATATATGTGTCTCACTCATACCAGATATTATCCACCTCTCGCCCTCAGCCACTAAGGTGCACATGTGACAATGTTTGTAGAGATGAAAATCCAGCAGATGCTTCAAGTATGCGGCTCCTTTCCTCCCGTGCACCGTTTTCTCACTCACATGCTTTTGTGTTGCAGTGTTTGTGTTGACAAACTGAGTTCCAAAGAAGCCATAAAGACTCCACATTCAATGGGTACGAGAAGGCAGGAATTCTTCTATAAACACCAGAGTCATCCCAGTCATCAGGACTGTGCAGAGGCACACTCCCAGTAACAAGGAGGACAAACACACACGTAGACACGCTCACGTATGAACGCAGAGATTAAATCAAGCTAAGATCTCCTTTAGGGTCAGTGAGGGGAAATTACATCCTAATGTGAAACTGTAGCAGCTCTGTGGTCTCTCAGTTTGAGTTTATGCTAATTTTACATTACTGGATGTAAATACTTGTCTCTTGGTGCTCAGTTATGTAAGGATTCAATAAATTAATCAGTTTGTTCATTGGAATATTGTACACAATAGGATCAACAGCTGCCTGTTGATAATTTCTCTTATTACCTTTAGTAGAGAAGTAAACTCATTAATGAACAGAAAAGATAACTGTACCAATAAGTATATAAAAAAACACCATGTGCCATCACAGATCACTTTGATTTAGCGTCATGTGAGTAAACAGAAACGTATTTATGGTGCATACAATATTCTGTAAATGCAAGGCATGATTTGAAGAGCTCTTACGACCAGATAAAACCTGAGCATTAGTTGTGACGGATGAAAACTCTTGAATATTTTTTGTATTATCAGATTATTTCTATTTAATTTACAGAATGCCTGTGTTGATTCTCAGTCATCCACGTCATGGCAACACCTGGGTGTTTAAGTAGAAGACAACTGGACTTCTTTTCTTGGTTCTGGAAGATGTTTCTCCTCTGATCCAAGAGACTTCTTCAGTTCTGTATGTATAAAATGTCTGTATTACACAGTTGTTCATCATCGCTATATGCAGTTCTACGTTTATCTTTTTCTATAGATCACTATAGATCAATGTTAACTTCAGCTCAGTGAAATTCAGTCCAATAAAAAATTCTCAGATGCCTATATGGCAACCACAAGTTACCATATTTATAAAACAAAAAACAAAAAGAAAGAATGAAAATCTGTTTTTATGAAACAGTCATGCGGAAACAAATTTAGTGTCATATCAGGCAGAGATGCAAAAAGCTTTTCAGATGTCCCATGGAAAACACACAGACAAACACACAGACAAACACACACACACACACACACACACACACACACACACACAGACACACACAGGTCATAAAAGCTGACCTGAAAACCCATCTTGTCATGTTTCATCAACAATGTATTTCTGTGTTTACGGAATAGCGGCAGTTTTACATGTGTTGGATCTATTTTTGACCTTTCCACCCCCTCACCATGATGCCAGGACCACAGAGGACTACATTGCTTTGCAGAGGGCAGAAACATAAATGTGGAACGAAGTCTTCGACCATCAGTTCATTTCCAAAATGAGCTAACACTGTCCCCTAGTGGTGGATGATCCCTTTTCACCATGATGTCTTCATTTCCCTACTAAACCACATTATTTTGATTATCCAAAGGTCCACAAGCATCAGTGTTTGAGGGTGTTGAGGTGGTCTGATCACACAGAGGTGGAAGGTTCAATAACCTAAAGATGACTTTGTCTGACTGTATGCATGTATACAAGAACATTTGAGTGGTTTAATGCGATGCACTAACTGTATGTTGACCACTTCAGAATCTGAATTTGGATGGGCTTAACAACTCAGACTTGATGAAAGTTCTCAAATGTGTGATCCACTCAGTTTACCAGCCCCTTAATAATGTTTATTCGGTGCGAGGATGGAAAATTAGTTGCTCAATGTGGGATGTCTTTTGGGTGTTTTGCAAAATATTGTAACAAAACCCTGTCTAATGTATGTCTTCTCTGGTTAATTTCACTGATTATAGCAGAAGAATTGCAATGAAAAATATTGATCACGGTGGGTATTGACAGCAGCAACAGGACTGAACAAGTGGCGTCAGAGTGATTAGTGATAAGTGAAGTCATACTACCTTTCATGTTGTTTAATGGTACTTTTCTAATACAAAGTACGATCTTGTAAAACAACAACTACCATAACAATAGGACTGATGAGCATCATGTGATTCTGAGATACAATGATAACCTGTTGATGTCGTCATGGTTATCTCAGTCAGTCATTATCAGTTCTTTCAACAGAAAGCTTGCACTAGAAACTGGGAGTCTATGGCTTGGAAGATGTGGGCATTTAAGGCAAATTTCTGACGAAGACACTGCTGAGTTAAGATTCAATGTTTCTATCGAGCTTGACACCAAATAAAGACTAAAAGTCAGGATATCTATTTTACCCATTCTTTCTAAAAAATGTCTTTTTGGAGTCCTCCAACTTCTGGATCTGCTGGAACTCAACCAAACTGAACCTTAATACCAATCACTAGTAACTCTGAAGCCAAATGTATTTATAAACAGAGGCATTGCTAGGATCTTAAAACACTGGGGGGCCTTAGCAAGCTTCACAAATCTTTAGATTTTAGCCTCTTAATTTCACAATTTTTAATGCTATTTTATTTATGGTAGGTAAATTTAAGTAAAATACACAGAAACTATAAGACACTGGTCTTATAGTCATCAGACTGTGTTCCATATTAATATCATGACTTCAAGTCAGCTAGACTTGTCGTTCTCAAACTCTCTGCCTTGATATTTAAAATGATTTTTACAGAGCTATAATCACATGTAAAGGTGTGAACTGTGATAAAAATCTTAGAATAGCAATGAGCTAAACTAGGGTTGCTACAACAGCTACAGGTATACAGGTATAATTTTATTTATTAGTAATTTTGGTGACTAGCTTTTAAAAAGTCCAGGAGAAGAGATGCAGGCTGAGGGAAAAAGTTCACCCTTAATGTCACATAACATATACAACTATGAGAGCAAATCTGCTGTCAAAGCTTATCTTCATGTGAAGTTGTTCATATAGTTTTCTTTTGGGTCTATGCTTCTGTAACATTTGGTTTTATTTAATAGTGAATTTAGCTTATATTGTGTTTGTCCTCTGGTTTCCCTTTTGGTGTTTATAAAAACATTAACGTTACATTTATTATAATGACTTTTATTAGTGTATTCAATTATATTAAGACAAAAACCTTTTTCTACTGCCTTTAGAATTTCTGCACTGAGAAATTAGGAGATTTGATTGTTCCTAACCAAAGAATGTATATTATCTAAAAGTCTACTCATGATAATTGCATTATTTGAGCAGAAGTAATGCAGAATTGAGCAACTTTCGTGTGAGATATTACAGAAGCACGTGATTGGTTGACTGCGTCTGACGTAGGACGCAGGCGTTGTTTTGGAGGAGGAAGTGAAAGGGGAAGACAGAAGCTGGGGTAGTAGGTAGTTAGCTGGCAGACAGGCAGGAAAGCCTCCAAGCAAAGTGCCAAATTTATACAGCAGTTGCGGATAAATTGCCTCGTCAATTTACGACACGGTCTTTGTGTCGTTCACGCAAAGGGTGGCGCATTTTTTTTCTCCTAAGAATTTGAAACGAGGCATTGCCAAATTAACGCTAGCTAACGAGTTTAGCTCCAGCGAGCTAGCTAGCTAACGTAACGCCTAGTTAGCCGTTGACGCTCGCTGTCCTGAACAATAACAGCAAGTTAGCCCGCTGCCGGCTCTGATACGGTCCACAAGTCAACTCTCCGCCGTGCTACAAGTAAGTTTTTGAGAGGACAGCAGTCTGTTCGTGTGTGTGTAATGTTTGCTCGCTCAACAATGCGCTCGGTGTCCTATTAACCCCGACGATGTAACAGCTAATGGTGGTGCAATGTTTTTTCGAGAAGCTGGTTGGCAAAAACAAGGCCGGCCTGTGGCTCCTCTGGGTCCAACAGGGAAGGAGAACCGGGGAGTCGAGGCCGGTCTGTCGAGCACAGCACTGGAAGAAAAACGCCCCCCTTCCTCTCTGCTAAATGTCGGCAGCGAGCACATCGATTTCTCTATATAATTTAATTTGTAATTAGCGTTCATGCATACAGAGAAGGATGGTTTTTAACTTTAGTACTAAACTGTAAATGGTTTATTGATCAAACGCCAAGGTGGGTGGTTTGTTAACACATCTTGACGCTCGCTGGTAAGTGTCGGCTTTTACACATTTTGATCTGTCAGCAGGCTGCGAGGAAAAAAAATCTTACATATCTCTGTTGTTGTGTTGCCAGGTAGACGAGACTTGTCATGTGTTTTTCTGTGTTAACTAG